GGAGTTGCTGCTTTCTTCGGAGTTGCTGCTTTCTTCGGAGTTGCTGCTTTCTTCGGAGTTGCTGCTTTCTTCGGAGTTGCTGCTTTCTTCGGAGTTGCTGCTTTCTTCGGAGTTGCTGCTTTCTTTGGAGTTGCTGCTTTCTTGGCTGTAGTAGGTTTCTTTGGAGTTGCTGCTTTCTTGGGCGTAGCAGGTTTCTTGGGTGCAGCTTTGGGAACAACTGGAGCCTTCTTTGCCGGAGCCTTTCGTGTTTGCAGAAATGGTCTGTCAGGCGTGTCTTTCTTCAACGAGTCTGTGGCACGTGTGAAGGCTACATCATCACCCCCCTGGCTCCCGTGTGTATAATGTAAAGACGAGGTCGTGGAATTTTGTAAAATGATACTGTTCAGGATCGACGGGGCCGCCAACTCGCCGTTGTCATCGTTGTCGGCGTCGAGTTGTTGTTTTCCATTATGAAGCGTTTCTCCTAGGGTGCTCCCCAAAAGGCAGCTAATGATGATAGTGAGCATAAGACATAGTCTTATAAGGCGGGCCATTATGGTATTCTACCATAGGAATTAACATAAATAGTAATGAACCTGAAGCAATAGTATTCAGTTCTGAAAATAACGGACGAGAGGAAATTAGGAAAAAGAAGTCATAGAATATATGAGTGTAATAAGAGCATTAATACAACTGGCTCTAAAGCATAGGTATTTTTAGAACAGATCTGATAAACGAATTATTTCCTAACTAATATTCATTTTTCATGCCAAACAAAAGATACCCAGCTGACAGTTAAATCCTTCTATTCTGGGGGAAAGTGAGACTTCTTTCCAAAGTCCTACTGGAATAGCTAGGGCTGACTGGCGAGGTGTGTGCAGGCTTATATTATTTGTCGCTTAGGTATGGCACATCACTTGTGAAGGATTTCGCTATCGAATTACCGTTAACTAAGATATTCAACTGTATCTCTTCAACTTCTTACGGCTGAGTAAACCGTGGTAGCTAACATTCATTTTGGGTGTTATTTATCGGATGGGTCAATTACTGACCCTCACTCAACGCGAGAATGTGCGTGAGATCGATACAGCCCTATAAGCAAGGTCCCTATTTGATCCAAGCCACGATCAAGGGGTATGTTCTGAGTATGCAGCACTAATACCACGTAAAGGCTTACGAAGGATTAATTTACGACCATATCGCGCGCATGACGGTAACGTCCTAGCTAAACTGATTTGCCATCGGCCCGTTAATTACCGCGAAGAGCTGTTAATTTATAGTCTACAGAACGCATTCATTTAATAACAGGGTACATGATCATAGGCCGCCTCTATTTACTTGATGCTGAGAGCCTGAGATCGAAGACGAAGGCTCTAATTAGAGGAGAGGGGTTATGAAAAGCGAATTGTTTTAAAAGGACATTATCTTAAGGGCCTTGTATAACCTTAACAAGTTATTGGCAAGATCACGTGTTCTCAAATGGGTATGGTCGTATGTGACAGTGTTGAGTCAAATGTGCTATATATGCAGCCGTTGTCCTCGGCGAAGTCTAATGCAACAGGCAATCTTATGTGTCATCTTTCGTTTCATCCAGAGAGACTCGGCCGAGTATGGCTGGGATGAAGAATACATCCTGGCTGATCACCCTCTCTTAATGACGTGGTGGCAAGAATTATTCGAGACGTATACATACTCACCGTCGGTGTCGAAGAGGCAGCATTCATATAATGGAAGGGGGCCAAATACTATATATATATGGTATGCTTATTCGAAGCTATCATTGGGCGAACATACAGATAATTCATGGACATATAATTTGAAAGACTGGCTGATCCATCTATCCGCCACCAAAATCGACCTAGGCAGTTCACTGAGATGCAAACTTCTTGACAGCCTGAACCACTTCATCCACCGCAGTCAGGTTGGGGCAATGACCCGTTTCTATCTCTACCGTCTGCACTGTCTTGCCCTCCTTCTCCAGATATCCGGCCATGTTCTTTTGGTAGTCAACCGGGACAGTGAGATCGCCCTTTGTGTAGATGAAGGACACCTTGACATCATCGCGCCAAGCCGGCGTGTCAGTGAGCGGCTCGTACATACACCTTCCGTTCCAGCGTACAAGCGTGTCAAAGTAGGCCTTGAGCTCCTGGGCATCGACAGATTCCACAAAGGGTTCGCCAACAAGGCCCTCCCGCGGGTAGTTGGGCGTGCAGCTACCATCCTCGGCGAAGTCGAAGGCGACGGGCATGCGATCCAGATGCCCAAACTCATCGACCTTGTCGGTCATGCTCTTCCCTTCGGGGAGGGCAAAGGAGGCCATGTAGATGAGGTGCGTGACGCCGCCATTCAATCCCTTGGCGGCTCTTGCGGCAGCGCTCAGGCCGTACAGGGAGTTTGTGCCGACCTGGCCTCCGTAGCTGTGCATCAGCACTACTACATCTCGGCCAGCCTCCACGAGACTGGCGGCATAAGCCCGGATCTGATCCGAGTCAGTTGCCAGGTTGGCATTTGGGGGGCGGCTCCCGTTGGTGGAAGGGTGGCATGGGATGTGCACCTCAAAGCCGGCACTGCGCAACGCGGCTGCAAGCTTCGCGTAGCTGGCCGGGACATGCCAGCCGCCATGAACAAGGAGAAGAGTTGGTCTACTGGTTGCTGACATTTCTATGGCTTCAAGGGTGTCAAGAGCGTATCAGGAGCTTGAGGTAGGGTAGAACTTGGGAAGTTGATGTCCTGGTGG